ATATATATATATATATATATATCATGATATGATACTTAGAATGTTTCATGCTTTGGCATATATGATACAAAGTTTATCTCTTAGGTCTAATACTTACCATCCACATAATGTTGTCATAACTTAAGGTGACAAATGAATTCATTTATACATCATTCATCTGTTCCATCCACTAGTAAATCCTTCAAATTCATCTATTATAATAAAAATAAATAATGAATTAAATTTAATACATTCATTTAATTTTATGGATGGTTAACGGTTCATGTATTACTTTATCAAAATACATTGAATTACAATATGATATATTCTTTGGATTGAATTTTAAAAGGTTATTTTGACATAAAAATAAATTTTGTAAATTTTAAAAGACTATATAAAATTATAATGACTTATAAAGAAAAGAAAGATAAATAAAATATTTTAAAAAAAATATTTAATTTTGCAAATTTTACTTTTATAGATGGATTAGACATTCATCCATGAAAAATTATTAATAGATGAATTTGATGATTTTTTTTATTTAAATGGATTGAATATTTATGTAAATTTTTAATGAATTTAAATGAACTAGCTAATAGATTATTTTTATCTAACCCATTATGATTTATCTAAAAAAATTTATAATATAATTTATAAACTTATCTAATTAAATCATAATTAATATGTCATATGCTGAAATTGTATTATGTTTGTTCGCATATTTTAATGCTGATAGATTTGTTACTATATGAGTATTTCCTTATTTTTTTTATCTAAGACAATTTATAAGAATATTATTTGTAACATGAGCCGTATTCATCATTGGTTGGTTTTTGTCGTCAAAAATTGAATTCGATCCAATCTTATTTTAATAATAACAAACAAGTCAAAAACGAAAAAGACAAGATAGGTTGTACAGATGTTTTCCGTGAAGAAAAATATATTGATGATATCAATTGGCTAATTCATCCTAAGCTTTAATGCATCATGCTTCATTTGTTTTCTAAAACCTTCATCGGTCAGAGTATCAAATTAGTTTTATGTTGTTAAACCCCCATCTAGCTACTACACTTTAACATGCCATAAATTGTTATTTTGTCCAATTTTTTGTTCACGTTCTTTAGCAAAACTCGCATTTATTTTATTTAGATCGCATGAGGCAGGTGAAAAGAACAAATGAGGGAATTGATGAAAAAAAATAAACATGTTGAAAAAGACTTCATATGGAGCTTAAGAATGTAGCACGACATGCTATCTCAAAACACGGTTGTGTTGGGTTGCACGCCCTCGAAGCACACATTACTTCAAACTAAGTGTTAGACAACATAATTAATATTTAGAAAATATTCCTCTTATACATAATTATTAGAGATCAATTACCATCTTAATGGGATCCACAATCTTAATGGGATTCACAATCATAGGCTAAGACTCCTCTTGTACTGATGTATATATTGATACTACCATATCAATGAAAGGAACGCATAATTGCTTACATGGTATCAGTAGTCACTATCTGATCCTTGAAAACCCTACATGCCCTCACAAGACAGAGCCTCTCTCCTCATTCTTTTCTCTTTTTTTTATTCCATCTCCTTTTCTCCCTCACATCAATGGCTTGCCTTAAAGTTGTTATGATGTTTATTGTTGTAAAGTTGTTATGATGCATATTATTGTAAAGTTGTTATGATGCCTATTGTTGTAAAGTTGTTATGATGCCTATTGTTGTAAAGTTGTTATGATGCCTATTGTTGTAAAGTTGTTATGATGCCTATTGTTGTAAAGTTGTTATGATGCCTATTGTTGTAAAGTTGTTATGATGCCTATTGTTGTAAAGTTGAAATGTTGGGGACATATGGTAAAGATATATGTCCTATGTTGAGATACATAGTACTGAGGTGATAAGTTGAAAGTTGTTTTAAAGTTGAATCCCTTAGTATTGTGTGGGCGACATGGAAGTAGTCGATCCATGTCATGGTTGAATTAATGACCAATTTGAGTAAGGTATCTAGTTAGAGATGTAGTCTTTGACTAGGTACTAGAGGGTATGTGGTACTTGGAGGACAGTGGATGGGCTAACTCCATATGTGGATTGGTGATGCTAGCCAAGGTCGTGGTAGGCTCATACCTAAACCCTTCTGTCCTGACAGTAGTACTGGACCTCTAAGTCTAAGTGACACACCTGAGCAATCACCTATTGTTGTCTATACCTGGTTCTCTTCGGAGTTCCTAACAATGTCCTATACCTGACCTGGTTAAGATAGGTTAAAGGCTGGATTCGGTAGGGTTTATGCCACCTAGACTGCTTAACCTCAGTTGTTGGAGATCTCCTAGTTGTATATGTATGACGACGCATTAGTTGATGTTGCATGGGTTGTTGCATTCAAGTTGTATATAATGTTGTATGAATGAGTTGATAGTTGAGCTATTGTGATAAATACTATGTGATTGTGTTGTGATGAGTTGTTGATCACTAGGATTAGAGGAGAAGTTTTCAAAGTTGTTCATCCCATTGTGCGGATTGAGATAGTTGTGATGCTCTGAGAGCCCAATTTTTTTAAAAAACCCTCCTTAGAAAGTTATCCCTTGGAGTGGATGATTTGTTGTTCTCCTCTAGGACTTGGTTGGTTCCGTTTGTGGGCATGGTCGAGGCACACGTGTATGAAGCGACAAGTATGGGAAAGTGAATTATCCAAACTTGAAAAAATTCCTCCTACGAAAGTTTACGACAAAATGAAACTCAGTTTTGATGATCTAGATCGCAAAGAGAAACAAATTTTTCTAGATCTTGCATGTTTCTTTCTCAAATTGTCTACAAAGATAAATGTAGATAATCTAAAATCTTTACTGAAAGATGATAAAAGTGATAATTCAGTGATTTTTGGGCTAGAAAGGTTGAAAGACAAAGCTCTGATATCTTTCTCAGAGGATAATATTGTGTCTATGCATGATAGTTTACAAGAAATGGGATGTGAGATTGTTCGTCAAGAGTCTATTGAAGACCCTGGAAGCCGCAGCCGATTATGGGATCCCAATGACATTTATGAAGTACTGAAAAATGACAAGGTTTAAATCCTAACTAATTATATCTTTTTAATGACATATGAATTTTCTTTATTAGAGAAATGTGGCTTTTTGGTGATGGTTAAAAATTTTCTTTAACATTGATGGCAGGTTACTGAGGCCATTAGAAGCATACGAATTCAGTTGACAACAATTAGGGGACTAAAGTTAAGGCCTCACATATTTGCTAAGATGAGCATACTAAAATTTCTGGAAATTTCAAGCGAATTAGATGCATATGGTTTCGAAGTTCAACTTGGTGAAGGACCTCTATTTTTGGCAACTGAATTAAGATTTCTTTCTTGGGATTGTTACCCTCTAAAATCCTTGCCACAAAACTTTTCTGCCGAAAAACTAGTAATATTGAAATTACAACTGAGCAAAATGGAAAAACTTTGGGATGGAGTGAAGGTAAATAAGTATCTCACTGTTATAATTTTATTGTTGCATCGTTGAGACCAAATTAACTAATTTAGTGCATTTGATATCTCTATTTTATTACAGAACCTGGTGAGTTTAAAAGGTGTTTACCTCGAGCATTCTTATGAGTTAAAGGAGCTGCCAGATTTATCTAAAGCCATAAATCTTGAAGTATTGGATCTCTCTTTTTGTTATAGGTTGACTACTGTGCATCCATCTATTTTCTCTCTAGCCAAACTTGAGAAATTGAATCTTCGTTACTGTGGATCCCTTACCATACTTTCAAGTGATTCCCATATGCATAGCCTCAATTATCTCATCCTTGATTATTGTAAGAATCTTACTGAATTCTCAATTATATCAAAAAATATGGAAAAATTGGACTTATCATGGACAAAGCAAATGAAAGCACTTCCCTCGTCATTTGGACATCAAAGAAAGCTTAAATCACTAAATCTAACAGAAAGTGGCATTCAGAGGTTACCTTCATCCATCAACAATCTTACGCAACTGCTACATCTAAACCTAAGCTGTTGCCGTGAGCTTGAAACAATACCAGAGCTTGCCCCATCACTTAAAACTCTAGATTTTAGAGATTGCAAGTCACTTCAAAGTATTCCAGAGCTTCCCCAGACCCTTTTATGTTTAGATGCTGAAAACTGTGAATCACTTCAAACTCTACCAAAGCTTCACCCATACCTTAAAACTCTAAAACTCAGAAACTGCAAATCACTTCACACCATACCAAATCTTCCCCCTTCCCTTGAAACTTTAGATGCCCAATCTTGCAGTTCACTTCAAACTCTACCAATGCTTCCCCTATCCTTGAAAAATATAAACGCTAGAGATTGCAAATCGTTGAAGACAATGTTATTGCTCCCTTCAACATCTGTTGAACAATTAAGGGCAAACAGGACACGAGTTCTGTTATGGAATTGCTTGAACTTGGATCAACATTCTCTAGTTGCTATTCAGTTGAATGCACAAATCAGTGTGATGAATTTTGCAGATCACAATAAAGTTGTTTATGTGTATCCTGGAAGCTTTGTTCCAGAGTGGTTGGAGTATAAGAGAACAAATAATTATGTAATTATTGATCTCTCTTCTACTCCATCCTCTCCCATGCTTAACTTCATTTTTGGCTTCGTCCTTGGTAACTATGAAGGAACAGCAATTGAAAATGAACTTACAGTTAAAATCACTTTAAGTGACGGTGATGGTGAAGGTGAAAGGGACAGTGTTGAAATGATCATAGATTATTGTCGTTGGACAATTGAGTCGAATCATGTGTGTGTGATGTACGATCGAAGATGTTCTAACTTCCTAAATAGTAGAGCCCAAAATCAAACAAGCTTTAAAATCCAAGCTCAAATAGTGTTACACACATATCACACACTCTTCAGAAAAACTACTGTCATGCGGCCGGATATGGTACTAGGATTCGGGGTCAGTGCAATAACCAGCTCGACATATAACAATTTCATTCAACAAATGTCAATGTCTCAGTTCCATTAAGCACGTGGAATTGGGTTGTGTGCTTCCTATAATCTCAGGTATTTCCTTCCTCCAGTCTACAACCATATTGTTGTAAAGTTGTTATGATGCCTATTATTGTAAAGTTGTTATGATGCCTATTGTTGTAAAGTTGTTATGATGCCTATTGTTGTAAAGTTGTTATGATGCCTATTGTTGTAAAGTTGTTATGATGCCTATTGTTGTAAAGTTGTTATGATGCCTATTGTTGTAAAGTTGAAATGTTGGGGACATATGGTAAAGATATATGTCCTATGTTGAGATACATAGTACTGAGGTGATAAGTTGAAAGTTGTTTTAAAGTTGAATCCCTTAGTATTGTGTGGGCGACATGGAAGTAGTCGATCCATGTCATGGTTGAATTAATGACCAATTTGAGTAAGGTATCTAGTTAGAGATGTAGTCTTTGACTAGGTACTAGAGGGTATGTGGTACTTGGAGGACAGTGGATGGGCTAACTCCATATGTGGATTGGTGATGCTAGCCAAGGTCGTGGTAGGCTCATACCTAAACCCTTCTGTCCTGACAGTAGTACTGGACCTCTAAGTCTAAGTGACACACCTGAGCAATCACCTATTGTTGTCTATACCTGGTTCTCTTCGGAGTTCCTAACAATGTCCTATACCTGACCTGGTTAAGATAGGTTAAAGGCTGGATTCGGTAGGGTTTATGCCACCTAGACTGCTTAACCTCAGTTGTTGGAGATCTCCTAGTTGTATATGTATGACGACGCATTAGTTGACTAAGCACGAAATATTGAGTCAATTAAGCATGATTGTGCTCCTTTGTAGTCTGGTCGTGCTAATTCTGAAGCATGTCCAAGGCTAGAAGAAGCACACCCTTGCTAGATAAGCATGGTGGTGCCATTTGAATAGCATTATCGTGCAAACCTAGATGCACCCCCAAGTTTTAAGCTAGCACGCCCGTGCTATTTGAACAACATAACCATGTTGTCGTGCTCCTGTTTTTCTTATAAATAAGACAAAATTGGAATCTAGTAGGTATCTTGATTTTTTGTTTATTAGTTCCACTTAGTTTTTCATTTCTATAATCTTTGATGTATAGAGGTAATTATATATGTAGAGTCTCTAAGCGGTATATAAGGTAGGTATTTCAATTTTCATTTTATTTTTTTCTCCTTGTTGTCATGAGTTTTAGAAAGATGTTAGAATTTTTGCCTATCATGTATGGGTAATTTATTCTACAACGATTATGATGTAAATTGTACTACTTGATCTCAAATATTAATATGTTGAATTCTTATGTATAATTGAATTATTTTATTGTTTTGTCTCTACATGATGAACTTATCAATATGAATGCATATTAAGGTTAATTTATGGGAATGAACAATGAACAAAAATTAACGGTTCTATAAACAATTGGGATTCATTAAGAATGTGTATGATTAATTCAATTTTGAAATTTTTTGTTTGATTAAATGTTTAATCAATTTCCTTGTGGGCATGTTTCTCTAATTTTGAATTAGCCTACAAACAATTGAAAAATTAAATTAGAGAAAATGGTAATTTCTATGAACAACATAATTAACTAATAAATGGGAAATGGAAAATTATCTAAGAGTTTAGGTATATCAATTTTGAGTGAATTAGAGTCAATTGAAATTAAAACTCTAGGAGTTTTAATCTCCAAATTCAAACACTAAATATTTTTAATAAACTCCAATTTATGCAATTTGCAATTGCACTTTCACAAACAATTTTAGATCTCTCAAACAATTAAAAATTGTAAGTAAGTTGATAATTGCTTAAATTTAGTTTCTTGGATATCATATTTAGACTATATCCATTGTTACTATTATAATAAGGAATATTGGGTTTGACCCAATTTCTTTTTTAAAAGATTTTAAGGTTTGACTTAGTCTTTTACATAATTTGATGCTTGTGTTATTTGCCTCTTGGAACCCTAGTTTTGCATGATAGTCATCTTATGAACTAGGAATTTGAGCAACAACATTGTTGCACCTTTGCCTCAGAGAAAACTTCTTTCCAAATATGCATGGGGGAGTAAGACTACCATGCTCATAAGACTAATTCAAATTGTGGTTAGCGACTTTGATCCTATCTTGTAAGTTTGTATTTATTGGCGTTATTTTGGATAGGTTGTGAATATCCTGTGTAACATCTTTTAGATTTGACGTCTTAATGACTCAATTCTATGACACTTCACATAGTGAAACTTTATATAACTCCTCGTGGTTAGAACCCTCCATGGGTAGCTCACTTTAAGATGCCTGACCACCTCTAGGATCAACAATCGTCCTCACAAATCAACACAAGATTTTTCAATGTGTTTTGTCTTCACTTGCACGCTTGATGGGAAAATTTCTAGAATGGTATTGCTAAATTGCTCCAAGCCAAACACGCTTAACTATGATGTTATTTCGTGAAGAGTTGTCAAAAAATCACTACAAAAAAAAACACTCATTAATGACGGACTTTTTCTCACGGATAAATATCCGTTTGAAAAATGACAATACCGACGAATTTTTCCGCGAATATGTATCCGTCTAAAACATAAATGATTCCGACGGATATTACTCACAAATTTTTTCTGTCTGAAATTTCTAATGATTGTTACCCACAGATTTTTTCAATGGAAAAATTATGATGTTTCAGACAGATATTTCCCACGAATTATCTGTCTAAAATGTTCGTAGAAAATACAAAAAAGTTCGTCGGTAACTTTAAAAAAATTAATGATAAAATATTAACAAATTAAATTCTTAAATAATTAACTAATTTTCTCATGCTAATTAATTTACCATACCAACTATTATATATATATATATATATAATTTATAATTAAATGATAGTATAAAATAATAATTTACTACCAATATATTTTAATATTATATAATTAATTTTATTTAAGTTGAGAAATATATAATTAATGAAATTATATTGATGCATGATAAATAAAAATTAAATTAGATAATTACTCAGGGATATATCCGTGGATAATTTACCGATGGATTTATCCGTAGGTAATTACAGATGGATAAATCCGTGGGTAGTTATTTTTTATTAATAATTTATGTTAAAAATAATAAAATTAATACATAAGTAATTTTGATAAATGAAAATTAAATTAAATAATTACTCAAGAAATTACCCACGGATGTATTCATGGGTAATTACCGACGGATTTATCCATGGATAATTGCCGAAAGATAAATTCGTGAGTAATTACCAACAGATAAATTCGTGGGTAATTATTTTTTTATTAATAATTTATGTTAAAAATAATAAAATTAATTTATAAGAAATAATGATAAATAAAAAATAAATTAGATAAAAAAAATTAAAAATATATAAAATTCTTCTAGTTAAAGAAAAGTCTCTAAAAACTCTATGGTACAAGAAAGACATTTGTGCTTTATATATAGAAGTTAATTATTCATTGAATAGGTACTAATTTATTGATTTAACTAATTTTAATTTAATATATATTTTTATATATAATTTATTATAAATTTTAATTATATATAATAAAAATGTAACTTGTGAAATACACAGACTAAAATATTAGTATTTTTTAATTTACATAAAAATTATTGTATTATATTATATTGTAATTTGTGAAATATACTAGAATGAGAGGAATCCAAAGATTGTACAAATATGAGATTGTATAGTTGAGGATGACTTGAAGGAATTAATTTGTATTATCTATATCAATGAGATGCATATACTATTTGGTAGCTTATTCCTAAAAAAATTCACAGTAAAGCGTGCTTGACATGGAGTAATTTAGGGGTGGGTAACCTTCTGGAAAGTTTTCTAGAAAAATGTGCGAGTGACGACAAGTCACGCTAAAGAGTCTTGTGTTGATTTGTGGGGTCAATCTTTGATCCTAAAAGTGGACAAATATCTCAATGGAGTGTCATGGAGTGGAGCTACTGAAAGGTTTGAGGGATGTTGCACTAAATAAGGGTGTTATTTAATATAATTTCAAAATGATTTTTTTTAAAATATTATCAACAATACCCATGGATTTTATTCGTGGGTAATTCTGTTGGAAAGTTACCCATGAATTGTAATTCATCGGTAAATTTTTTAGACGAGCAATTTACCGACGGATTATTGTCCGTCTGTAATCCGTCGAAAATAAAGTGTTAACCACGAATTTTTTGGATTACCCATGGATTTTGGTCTTCTGAAAGTTCAAAATTTCTTGTAGTGAATAAATGCATTCTATTGGTATTGAGAGTACAAATTAATTCCTTTAAATCATCTTAAACTACACAATCTCACACCTTTACAAATCTTTGGATCTTTTTCATTTTGGTGTGTCTAGGCTGTTACAAGCCCACCAACTTCTGCTTGGTTTATCCCTGAACCACACTTTATTGGGAGAGAACTAGGCATTGATACTATTTGTAATACCCCTTAGATTTGACATCTTAATGGCTACACTCCATGACACTAGCTACATACAATGACACTTCACATAATATTTTGTTATTCAAAACCCTTTATTGGTTATAATCCTTCATAGGTAGCTCTTTTTTAGATATCTGGCAACCTCTAGGATCAACGACTATCCCAACAAATCAAAACAAGACTTTTTTACGTGTTTTATCATCACTCACACCGTTTTTGAAAAACTTCTCAAAAGGTCACTCATCCCTTAAATTGCTCTAAGTCAAGCACTCTTAATTGTAAAATTCTTTTGTCATGAGCTATCAAAAAGTATATGCATCTTATTATTATAGGTAGTACAAATTAATTCTTTTAAGTCATGCTCAAATGTATAATCTCACACTTGTATTAATATTTTGATCCCTCTCATTCTAGTGTGTTTGGATTATTACATTTCAAAACTTTGCTATATTTATGTTTGAATTATTTGAGTTAAGAGCATGATGAATGTTATGAATTTTATTATGTTGTATAAGATTCCTTAATGTTAGGGTTCTTGATGCATGACCTTAATGTTTGGATTATTGGATGTTTTGATGCATAGTATGATGTAACATATGTTATTCTAAGTGTATCTATATATAATATGTAAATTATACAAAAATTAATAAGCCAAAATGTAAAAGTCTTGAGAAAATGGAAGGAGGTTGAGGGGATTTCATAAAATCCTAAATGGTCTTCTCATGAGTCCGTACACATGGCATGAAGTTATCCACACCAAGCATGAGACTCCTAGATGTGTAGGGCTTGTCTCATTTCATCTAATGCTAAGTGTTGATACATCCACGCTAAGAATAAAAGCCATAAGGAGTTTAGTTTGTTTGGGTGATAAGCATGGGCATTCTCACACTAAGTGTGAAGGTTATACAGAGCCCCTAGTACTTTGACGCTAAATGTGGGTCAAGTTGCACTAAGTGTCAAAGCCACAAAAAGTAAACCATATTTAGATACTAAGTGTGCTAGATCACATTAAACCCCATTTGGCACAGAAAAGTTATGATTGTTAACATTAAGTGTGGGCCTTCTAACATTGAGCACCCTAATCATAGGGATTGTCAATGGTTTTAATGCTCAGTGTGAGCCAAGTCACGCTTAGCATGGGAGCCATGAAGAGCAACCCTTGCTCTTTGCACCTATGACATTAAGTGCTTGGGTTTGATGTTATGCACCAACCCCTTATGTTGCTAAACTTAGTTATGATGATCTTTATGAGCTTTTAACCCTACAATGTGATGAAATAAAACAATATTAAATAAAGAAAGATGAGATACTAAGAATGTATGATAAGATGAATAATAAAAAGGCTAAGATGTATAAATACCTTTTGATGACACTATGTATAGCCTCTTTTAGATGAATAAAAAGTTTATGACAATACTTGATGTGCAACCTTTTTAATAATAAAACTTTTGAATCAAATAAATTATATGAATTTTGTATGAAAAAGGCATCATATGAACACAAAACTAGTTTCATGGTACATATGTGAATCCCATGTCAATGAGAGCTTTAAAGATCTTTGAATTTGGACATTTGGAGAGAACTTAATCTAGGATCTCCCCATGACCTATGAATGATGTTGTATGCTCAAAGTATCTTGACAATACTTTGTAACTCTAAAAAGTTACTAGTGGATGTTCACCTTGAGAGTGGTGTTAGCATATACCCTTGGTGAGTTGATCTAAGTGTCGCATGCATATTTGCATTATATTTTACGGGCGTATTAGATTAGGATCTCAGAAAAACTTTTCTTATAATTAATTCTTATGGTATTCAATAAAGAGATTAATATAAAAAGGTCTTGTGGTATTCAATTAAAACAATCATGATTTTTTTAAAAAGTACATTAAAATTTAATGGTATTCAATTGAGACTTTTTTTTTGTTGTAAAAAGGATCATATTCAAAAACATATATACATACTAAGAGTATGAATGAGAAGATGTCAATGCATAGAGAAATGTTACTTAGAAGAACATGAAACTAGAATAATTTTCTATTAAACTATTAAAAAAATTAATTTTACTTAAGTGGTTAGGAAATGAACTAATATAAAATCTTTTTTCTATTTTTCCTTTCTCCTTCACTACAAGACTTTATGTTTTTAACTGGGGTTATTAAAACCCTTGAAAACGTAAACACTTACGAGGGTTTTAATAACCTTAGTTAAATTAGGGGTTTGATTTCAAATCCTGAAAATGTGCTAAGTATTTTTTAGAAACCCTTGGTAATATTATTTTAATTAATTAAAGTTTAATTGTTTTATTTACCTCTAATTATTTCCTTTCCCTTTTTCTTACAAAGACAACTTTTTAGTTTTCTTTTTCTTTTTCACAAGCACAAATTAAAATAGCAATTAAACCCAACAAAAAATCTAAAAACACATTAAGAGTGTTGAACGTAATGTGAAACACGAAAACAATAGGAAGCATTTTAGACTAGGAAATATTTTAATTAAATGCGAAAACAAACCCTAGACATCTTAAACCTCTCCTTGAGGCACTTCTTGGTTTCCTTGAGAGAGGTAACTTTCTTGTCCTTTCGAAAGTAATGCCCGTTGTCTGGATTTGATCATGGGTGAGTCTATGTTTTTTTGTTTTGCAATGGAAGAGTTTGCTTTTGGTTATCTTTTGTTTAATACTTTTTTCCTGAATTTGTGTTCAAGGCTTTAAAGGGAATTGGGGATGTGTTTCCCAGTAGTGAACTAAAAAAGTGGATAGGATTTGTGGTTATACTAAATGAATATGAGATAGAATTGTTTTTGTGTTTATCTTGGGGTGAGATCAGAACTTGAAAGCTCCATCATTTTTTTCCACTCCTCTAGGTTCAGGTTTCAGCATTTTACTCCATTTGCATGTAACTAGCTAGAGTAACCCTTGAAAGTGAGTGTGAGAGACAGAGCACTGAAAAGATGCATGCTACATGCATTCTAGTACCATTCACTAATATATTACTATCCAAAATTCCCCCTTGAAGATATTTGTTGCTTATTTTTTCCATATCAACTATTCATTAGTGATATATTACCCTAGATAACCACATTCAGTTGAATTTCCGAAATTCCCTAAATTAAGCATCCATGGAGCTTCTTCCAAGTCTAGTAATGATGCTTGTTGTTGTTCTATACTTTGAATCACTTCCTAGTGGATAAAAAATGGTTGAGTTTGTTTGGTGTGTTAATTATAATAAGGTAAGGTTAATGTTGGCTTAATTGAATCATTCTAGTATTATATTGAATAATTGAGACCAAGTAAAAATGGTATTGATCTCTTTGTACAGGTTAGACTAATTTATTTAAAGTGGTATTTCAATACAAGTGACTGCGTTGAAATCACAATTGGATGAATAAAATAGAACATTGATCGAACAAATTTTTTTTTTGAAGAACGAGATAAAAGATTTGAGGCAATGAAGAACATTTTTACTCAAAACTATCAAGGCCAATTACCTTTTGACATGGCTATGTTTAATAATTCACCGGTAGTGTTCCAAAATGAAATAACTTTTTTAATATCTAATATTCTATATTTTGTGTTTCTAATTATGATTTTTGTTTATATTGTAGGTTTTTGATCATGGAAGTGTGCCAACAAATAAAATAAATTCTCAACATAAAATGGGGCATGAGTGATAGCTTAAAAACATATTAATTAATTTGTACTTGATTTGTGCTTCATTTTCAGAAGATAGAAACTTTGTGCTAGTTTATTTTGAGTAATGTGTGTATATATATATTATATATATATATATATATATATATATATATATATATATATATGTGTTTCTAGGAGTGATTTTATGAGAATACCCCCTTACTACTATGCTACATTGTGTTAATTTTAAGCTTCTTATTTTATAGACTAGTACGTTATGGTAGAAATATAAATGTAGTTTATATTTATTACTTGTAAATTCATTTCTTGATTTGATTTACATGCTTTATTAAGAAAAATAAGATCTTCTAAAAACTAGTATTATATATATATATATGTGTGTGTGTGTGTGTATGTATGTATATATACATATATACACAACAAATAAAAATAATAATTTACGTGAACAATAGTGGTTCAAAAATTTATCAACATACACAATTAAGAAATAAATGTTAAAATAAAAATGATAATGATGAGGTTAAATAACTCCTTCTACAAATATTTTATAGTAATTAACCCTCAACAATTACTAGCTAGGAGTTAAAAACTATAAACAAGTGCAGCACCATATTATTATTTTTTAAAATTATTTTAGGATTATTAATGGGTTTTAACCTCAAGTAAATCCAAAATTAACTTCCACTAAATTCATTTTTTTTTTGTAGTGCTTATATCTTATATATGCTGCTTCTTACACATATAAGGGATGAATGTTAACTTTGTGAATGAAAAAATTAGTTTTGATAAGATGGTTTTTATTTACAAACTTACATCTACCATTAAATAATTCATAAGATGCAGCATCATCCTACCGCTTGTTATAATTTTTGTTTTCTACAATTTTTGTGCTTAATTAATTTTGAAATTTAGAAAATTATTTTAGGAAAGATTTTTCACTAAACGTAATTCAATTTCTCTTCTTCTATATTTTTTTTCTTGCATTCAAAAATAGTCAAAATAGAGAATGTGAAATATCTTCATTTCTCGTTCCAACTTATTAAATATTTGACCTTATTTGCACTTCAATTTTTTTTGGAGGGGCTTGTGACTATAAATATTCTCCATGGGAGGTTATTCTAAAATCTATAGTGTAGTAAGAATATCTTTCTCATTAGAAGTTTCCTTTTAATACAAAAGACTTAAACTCAAGATATTACTTAAGGAAAATCAAGTATATATCACCTAACAAACCATTAACTAGTATATGGAACATCAAAACTATATCTTTCCTAAAATATTTCTTTAAAATTTAGAAGAAAAAACCATTCATTTCTTACACAATAAAACCTAGACAAATAATTATTCTAGGTTTGAAAGTACAAGTTACACAAAGAAATAAAATAATTTTTTTATCTAGCATTTAAAAGTGAGATAGTTACATCATTAATTGAAGATGTTTGTCTTGTAGAAGATTGTTCCCCTTCATTAGAGACCTTTTTTAGTAAGAATCCAGGTTCTTTTGGTTGAGGTAAATCAATTTCACTACTTAACATTACAACTACAGAGGACATGTTTGGCCTATCTTCAGGATGATGTTGTAGACATAAAAGACCAATTTGAATGCATCGTATTGCTTCAAGTATATTACACGAGTTTTCCAAATAAGCATCAATAAATTCCATCGGGTTGCCTTCTCTCCACCATCTCCATGCCTACATTGATTCAATACAATTGTTATCAATTGCTTTATTATAGAAAAAAAAAATTGTTGTGTTACTCACATGGGCAATAATATTATTATCGTCATCTTTGTAGGTAAGTGCTTTGTTTTTCTTTCCACTAACAATTTCTAGTAATAAAACACCAAAACTGAATGCATCTGACTTTGTAGAGAATAACCCATCACTTGCATATTCAGGTGCCATATAACCGCTGAAAGGAAGCTCAAAATAATGAATTTTGCATTTCATTAATCATTGTTAAACTTTAGAATTAATAATAATTGATGATATACTTACTACGTCCCAACTATTCTACTTGTATTCCCTTCAACTTGATCACCTCCACACATTCTTGCCAAACCAAAATCTGAAATCTTTGGGTTCATGTCATTGTCTAACAAAATATTACTTGCTTTTAAATCTCTATGTATAATTCTTAATCTAGAATCTTGATGGAGATAAAGCAGACCCCGAGCAATTGCATTTAAGATTTTAAATCGCATAGCCCAATCTAATTCTTTTCTTTTAATTGAATCTGCAAAATTTTCCAAAAGTTTGTTAGTGTTTGCTATTCAAAATGACCTAAAAATCAAATCAAACTTTTCTTAAGTTGGCTATCAAGTTTTTCCAAAATATACTTACCAAAAAGAAATGAATCAAGGCTTTTGTTGGGCATGTACTCATAAAGTAACATTCTCTCTTCTCCTTCAAGGCAACAACCAAGAACCTTAACAAGATTTCGGTGCTGAAGTTTTGCACACAATATAACTTCATTCTTAAATTCTTTCAATCCCTGTCGAGAACTACTTGAAAGTCTTTTCACTGCAATCTCTTGTCCATCTAACAAAGTACCCTAAATTTTGATCAAAGTAAAAATTTGATACATTATTAAATTATTAGCTTTCTATAGCCTTATTAAAATTAGGATGAAAATTTACCTTATACACGGGGCCAAAGCCACCTTCACCAAGCTTATTGTTATCTGAAAAGTTATTGGTTGCATTGGCTATTGTAGCAAAATCAAAGAAAGGAAGCTCTAAATCTTCTTGTTTTTCTTCATCTATCTCTTCGGTTGAGTTGGTTCTTTCTATTTTAACATTAATTTATTGAATGAGATCAGTTCCATTTTTTCTTCAAATAAAAAACAAAAAACTTTGAATGAAAAGTCATAATCAAAGGTAATGTACTCCGATCATAAATGAAATGTTAACAAATCAAACCATATGCATGTGTACATATCTAGACACACACTTAATTAGGGATGTTTATTGATCGAATTCTTAAAAAATTCAAATCAAACCGAACCAATTCATTTTATAAAAGTGGATTGATTAATCAATTTATTTTTTATAAAGTGAATCAATTCAATTTTTTAAAAATATGGATCAATTTTATTAAAATTGAATCAATTCGATGTGGTATGATTATCTATTTATATCCATATATGGATTAATTTTTTAAGAAAAATCGAATCAAATCAAACCAATCTACTTCATTAAAAATAGATCAAATAATTGAATTAATTTTGAAAAGTGAATTGATTTAAATTTTTTTCCCAAAATAAATCAGTTTGAATCAATTTCAATTTTTTTTCATACCCTTATGCACACTAAAAAACAAGGAAATGAATAATATCCAATATCATAATCATGGATATCCTTTTAACCTAATTAAAAATATTATATCTTGACCTATAATAGCATAAAGCCAGAGTTTATAGTTCAAACCATAGTGCATAAAAATATATTCCAATTTATCATGTTCAATTGTTCTTTATACCAAACATGGATAAAACCCCACCGAAAGCCATGAAGAACTCAATAAACAAGTAAAAAGTAACAGATAAATTTCTTTATATTGTTGAAATTGCCCGAAATGTTTAACTGCATAATGTTCTGTTTCAGATAATTAATGCAAGTGTTCAATCAAATTATCAAACTGATTTTAGACTCTTAGTGAACTAAAAAAAATAACTTTATGGCTTACAAATTTACCTCTCCACTTCTTTTTGTTCTTGTACAAGTAGGTGAACGCCAACATCATCATAATGACCCCAAAAACAGTGAGTGTAACTGCCAAGACAACCTTCCTCCGATGGCCATGTTTAGCATCTGCATTATTATTTATAACTTGATAAAAAAACATGAAACACAAAAGATTTGTGGTTGTCAATTCTCAAATAAAAGCAATATCCATCTAATTAACACAATAGAAATTAAAGTTAGAAGAGTATCATTGTCTTTACCTATATCTGTTGTAGCCATTCGAACATATAAATCTTGCCCACTATGAGAAACTCTCAAGTCAAGAAGATCACCAAACCAAACAGAACAACCTTCTTTACTAATGTCCAAGTTTGAATAAGCCGTGCAAGAACAATTTTCCATGCATTTGGCCTTGCAATCATCAAGTGACATACTTTGATTAATCCAAGAACGTGTAGTATCTGGCAACTTGGCCCCAACAATTTTTCTAAACCCATCTTTGTTTTTCACCTTGCAACTCCACGCTTCACTGCGCACACACCCTTGTGACCAATCCGTGGCATTCCAATGTTGCGGTGACTTTGGCTCGAACCCCTCCAAGCATTGGCACATAGGAGACCCATCAATGAAGCAATTCCCGTTTGGGCCACAAACGTTGTAAAAATCACAATTGTCTTGTGGTAAGGACTGATACACACTCCATGTTTTGGTTTGAGGAATCCACGTGAGGCGTTGACGAAGATAAATGGATTGGTTCATAACAACTAGGGAAACCACAGAACTGTTCTTGAGTGTGTATGAGTAATACACCTCATTTCCATCGTTGATGAATTCGTAATCATAAAGAGGGTTGGTCCTCAACCCAAATATTCCTGTGGAACGAGACCCAGTCCATGGTCCACTCCTGTAGAACTCAACAGAGTCTTTCCATATTACCTAATATCACATTTTAGTTATGTGTATTTAGAACGGTGATATGATATATATATTTACATAACTAATTATTCAACCCGTTAAATTTATATTTTGCGATTATATTTCACAATTTCATATATTTTATCATTCAACTTATAAAATTGCTGATATTTTCATTCAACTTTTAAATTTTTATATTTTTTTTCTATTTTTTTAAAATTTTGCATTTTTTGCTACTCTTCTTTTAATATATTGACTAACATTGTACATTGATTATTAACCTGAGACATTAATTATTGACATAACAAGTTAATGCTAATCGTTGATATATATTGCTAATATGGTAAACGTATAACATAATATAATGTGTCACCTCATCAATAAATATAAATATTAACAATTAATATCATGTCAACAGTTAGTATATCACTATCAAGTAATCAACTCATGGGATGCAAAATTTTAAAAAAAAATTATAGTAAAATGTGCAATTTTGAAAGTTAATTTGATAACAAAGTTTAGAAAATCATGAAATGAGCAAAATAATAAGTGCAATCATTATAAAGGTGATCAATCAAGTTATTTAACATATAATTACACAAAAATGATTTATAAAAAGATATTAAAAATATAATTTCATTAATTTTATCTATTGTTTAGATACAACTTAGAAGAATTTTTGCAAACTTCTCAATTAAAAATAATTATTTATTTTTAATAAAAATATCCTAAAATTACTTATAATAACTTTATCGAAACATACTCACTAGAATCTAAATCAATACCATATCTAACGTATTAGGCAAATTAAAGTATTAGTGTTGATAAGGAAATTACCATTTCAGGATTGACGCCAGGAACTATACCTTGAACAAAGTCTCCAGAAGATGGGTCATCCCAATTCCTCCACGAAACAAGACGTCGATTAAGACCCTTTTTCAGGTCCCATCCTAGCTTCATTCCGGATAACAAAGTATCACAAGGATGGTCAAAGCTTTGCCATAGAAAACCCTCTTCCATGTTGCTATTGCCACCCTTTTCATCTCTAATCACCAAGTTTCCCGTGTCTAGGAGCTGCACAATTGGACTCGAAATCGAAACCTTTGGTGCTGATGTCGTGTTTGTTGACCAAACAAGAGAGTTGTTCTTGCTGAGAAGCATGAGGGTACCCTCTTTGGTTAGAATCAACGAGGTGGAATTGTCTTTGATGGGGTTGTCACGGTTGGCAACCCAAACAACCCTTATAACGGGAATATTTTTGTACCATATTCCAACGTAACGATTTCCAGAACTACCGGGAGTGAAGAAACCCATCTCAAAGGTTGAATCATTGGAAATTATAGTGTTGCCATCGTGAAGTGGTTGAGACAGAGTGATTGAATCAGAAGCAGAAGAAATTTGACACAAAAACGATAATAATAGATTAGAAATAACAAGCATAGGAGGAAGAATTCTTAGAATTGGCATTTTGAAGTGAATTTTGCATATCACCAAGAAATTAGAGATGATACCATACCACTAAGAAGAATTGATATTAGGTGGTATAGTGTTGACAATATGAAATCATTAAAGGTAAAGGAAATTCTGATAGAAGGACTTTGTCAAAAAATGAAATCTGGACCCCATTCATATTTGAATTTGAGTATTCTACTATATATTATGAGTATATATGGACAATAATTGAAGTGTTCATTTATTTCAAATATCTCTGAATCCCAGTCTACGCACGGCACAAGCATTTGTTGTTATATTGTCAACGATGGAAATGGAAAACGAAAGTAGCACTAAAGAATGTGAACAAGGTGACGGCGTCAGCATATCGATCATTCTTCATTAAACGTTTACTATTGAGCTTGACCTTTAACGCATTTGGTGGTCTTCAACAACCATTGGACCTTGTAGAGAAAACAAATGTTTTACGTAAGAATTCGATTCATAAGCAATGACACTATTATTTATTATAAATTATGGTGTATAATAAAATTACTAATCCATCTTTATAAATTAAAGAAGAATGTTTTTAGGTGTTTTTTTTAATGAAAAGATTTTTGAACTTTTTTTAATTTCTTATCTATATAAATTTGTATTTATAATATATATAT